GCAAGGAAGTCCTCAACGTTCATATTTCAAAATTATAATTGGATGAGATATACGAAACCGCAAGTACATACATACTGAAAAAGAGTAAACATGCAATTACCGTAATTTGCTTTCTGTTAAATGTTGTCATTGCCAAGTTCAAAAACCTGTACACAATATTTATTTCGAAGCTGCGCCTCATACAAGGATACTATAATAAAGCATACTATGATCTCAACATTCAACTACGCAAATTCTCAGAAGATCTACCTTCCGACGTCACCAAGTCTATCCAGAGTGCCGAAGTTCTTTAGGATATGATTGACCACTTCTGCGTTGTTACGCTTCGCAACCTGAAAACTAGCGTCAATGTATTCTGATTTTTTGGTGCTTCAGCTACAAGAGGTGAAATATTTCTAATATCTAATGAGAGCCATTCGATCAAAATAAGAGCTTAGTTTTCTATTTCTTCTCATAGATGGAAGAATAAACTTTGACACTTACAGGTCTAGCTCCAAGTGTTTTGAACAGCGTTAGTTGGGGTGCATACGCATTTGCTCGATCCTGGGAAAATGCATATCGTGATGGCATTGGACCCTTAATAGAAATTAATGAGTGATAGGTCAGCTAGTGTGGATCAATCAGATGCACGACCAAGGTGCAAAAGGAGTATTTATGAAAGCAAGACTGAAAACTGAAAGTCGTTGCATCACTAGGCATGCCCTGCATATAATGACTTTGGATCCCTAATTTTACATAGCAGTCCGGAACCCTTTGCTTAAGTGAAGTACGCCTAAAGTAGAAGCGCTATCTAACAATTTGCGATAAGGATGGAGAGATAATATTACTGGAAACAAAATTGATTCTGAGAGTCAATGATTCTTTGACTACGTGTCAAAGAGAACTCCAATCTTATCCGTACCTTTTCAAAACTTACGATAAGTGCGAAGGATTTAAATATAATTTTTCTGCATTTTCTCTTTTCTTTTAAATTAGTGTTTAATTACCATATTCAAATAATAACTATTGAGTTGATTGCCCTTCTTCAATTCGATAGGTAGTAGCTAAACATGGTAGTCAAACATCAATTAATTTCCCTTTCTTAGGATCTTATTCTAGCTTGGAATTTGATTTGTTCCTCAGCGATTCCAAAGCACCAGCTTCATTTTTTTGTGTGAATGCACTCAGCATCTGACGATGACGTAGGATGCATTTTCACCTCTCTACAATACAACTCACCATACTCCTCTCCTGTTGAGCTAAAGTTGTCGCCAAAATAGCAAGAAAGATGGCGATTGGTGCCATAGCTCGAGAAATCATCTGCAAGCAACTTCTTAAAATATTGAGCTTTTCGTAATATAGTTGAGATATC